AGTTGATCCATGCCAAAAAAGCGCGGTTTCGATGGTCCCATCGAAAAATTTGTACCCTGAAAAAGATATTTTCAGAATGAGGAAGCTCGAAAAAAGGCGAGAAAATTTTCAAAACGTGGGCCTAAAAAGGCGATCAGTTATCTGTTACCAAACTGATTACCACGCCGACAATAGGATCGTAAAATTGTGAAATAATGATAAAAATGCGACAGTTTTATCGAGGTGTGTTTATCTTGGAAGGCTGAATTTCGAGAAAGAGATGGTTTGGGATCAATTTTGGGTCCATTTTTAAGGCTTTTTTGCAGTTTTTCGAACCCAAAAAGGCTTAAAAAAATTTTGTTTAAAAATTCAGATTTCCAACTTCCCCGTATAAATTTTTATGTGTGGGGGATGTTGGAAATTCGAAAAAATTCGTTTGAAAAACCAGTTAAATAAGGGTTTCAGTGTTATTTTGGAAGATAAAAAAAGTAAAAAGAACTTTTTTTGTTATTTGAAAAAAACCCATTTCGAGCAACCCCTTAAGGGATCCCTTGAGCAATTCCTTAAGGAATCCCTTAAGGGACTGCTCAAAACAAATTTCATTATTTTGCAGGTAAATCTTCCTAAAAAAACGTGAAAAAAAAATTCAGTTCGAAAATCAGGAATTCCAACTTTCCCCATATGATTCACGGTAACTGGGAAAAATTTTATCTCATAAAAATTTGCAAAAAAGCTGTGAAACCCTTTGATAAAGTAAGGGACTTCGCCCCTAAGGCTGTTAAATTTTAGAGCTTTGTTTAGGCATTTTAACGATATTTCGGGAAAAAGAAGATAAGGTCATATGATTTTCGAATGAGATCAAACTAGAGATTTTTTGAGGCTCCCTGAAAAAAAATTGACCGCATTTGGAATGCGCTCGATGCTCTAGACTTTACTTTGAGAGTCGCCAGACCCGAAACGACTTTCGCTAGAACGCATATTAAATCATTGGAGAGAGCTGCTAAACTTCAAGTTCACTTCAACCGCAACGCGACCGCGACGCTTTGAGCCATTCCACGTGCGATCAAAGAACTTTAAATCAAGGAAAAAAAAACGATAGTATTGTCATCTTCCCGTGGGGATAATGATTTATCTTTTTTCCTTGATTTAAAATACTTTGGTCGCACGTGGAATGGCTCGAAGCGTAGCGGTCGCGTGGCGGTCTCATGCTTTACTATGTGTTCAGGCGGAAGTCGTTTTGGGTAGGGACCGCAGACGAATTTTCAAAAAAAAATTTTCAGCATTGAGCTTTGTATGGTTTGATAGCTGTTTCGATTTAAAACTCAGAACCGTTCAGTTTTTCAAAAAAGATTGAGGATGAAAAAAGTTATGACGAAAAATGTGGCGCGCCGCGCACCATTTTTTTAGTACTGAAATTTTGGTTTTCTCCATTTTTGACATTTTTCTCGATTGTTCTTCTAGAACAAGTTTTGATACTGTTCTAATATGATGTAACAAATCATAATAGAGTGCTAAAATGATAAAAAAATTTGCTAGTTTGCCGTAAAAAGTCGGTATTTTCCAGAAAACAAAAAAACTGACGCTTTGCGGGTATCGAACTCGCGAACTCAAAATGAAAAAAATCGCAGCGCACGCGCTGCGCCAAGCTGTTAAGTCTAGCGCGGGGAGCTTCCATCCGCCATACCCTTTGAGCCGTTTGGATAGCACAGATTGCCTATTTCAAAAAAATAAAAAAACTTGAAGTAATTTAGCTATTTTTTTATCAGAATATGTTCGCAAATCTTTGCTCAAACGTTTCGTGGAAATTCACTTCGAAAAAAAGCTGTTTTTTTAGTGCTTTTTGCCTCGTTTAACGATCGCTGCATTAAAAACGGCCCCGTAAATTTTTTTGGCAAAGACGAATTTTTTTATTTTATTCTTTTTAATTGAAAGATTTTTTTACTAATAAATGCATATAATCGTTTAAAAAAACCTGCGTTCGACCGCTTTCTGTGTGATAAACGCCGCTAATTTTATTCTCTAGTTTTCAAGAGCATTTTTTTGCGTATTAAACAACTTTTTTTCAAGCACATATGCTGTGGAGAAAAATTTAAGTAAGCACATGATCTAAATTTTGACAAAACAAAAAATCGATTATATTCGCTTATTAACTATATTTTTGAATTATGACTTTCGGCACTCCCTAAAAATTTTTTTGGCAAAGACGAATTTTTTTATTTTATTGTTTTAAAAATTACCGTTACTTGAATCAAAAATCATTATTTAAAAAAAGAAAGAGTGCGTTCGACCTGAAAAACACATGAAAAAAAGCAAAAAAACGACAAAATTTTTTTAGTTGCATTCACGTTTTTTTGTACGACATTCCGCGCGAACGCATCAAAAAAGCGTGAAATATTTTTTAAACGAAAGAGGAAGCTTTTCTGTACATGTGTGCCAAAATTTATTATCCAGTTCCACATATTTTGCAACTACAGCAAAATGAAAGTTGAAAACCAAAAAAAAGCCACTTTTTCTATCGCGAAAAGGGGCGTGGCTTTGCGGTCCCTACCGTTTTGGGTCTGGCGATGCTTAAAGAGAAGCCTAGAGCATCGAGCCATTCCAAATGCGGTCATTACTTCCAACCGAAAAAATCTCTAGTTCGATTCCATCCGAGAAAATCATATGACCTTATCTTTTTTCCCCGAAACGTCGTTAAAACACCTAAACAAAGCTCTAAAATTTAACAGCCTTAGGGGCAAAGTCCTTTACCTTATCAAGGGCTTTTGACAGCTTTTTTGCAAATTTTATGAGACCAAAATTTTTCCAAGTGACAGGGGATCATGTGGGGAAAGTTGGAAATTCTGATTTTCGAAATAAATTTATTTTTTCACGTTTTTAGGAAGATTTACCTGCAAAATAGAGATTCTTTTAGGCAGTCCTTTAAGAGATTCCAAAAGGGATTCCTTAAGGGGTTGCTCAAAAGGGGTTTTTTAAAAGTAACAAAAAAAGTTCTGTTACTTCTTATCTTCCAAAATAACACTGAAAACCTTATCTAACTTGTTTTCAAACGAATATTCTGCAACGAAACGACCTATTCGAGTTCAAAAATCTAAGAAAAAGTGGAAAATATGTCCACCTTTCTTTTTCTTCTTATCTGCGAAATTTTATGAAGGGTTGTAAAATTTTTCAGGGAAGAAGGAAGATTATAAGGGAAACGTAGAGTTTTTTAAGAGTTTTCGAAAATTTGATAGGAAGAACGACGAAAAATAGGTATTTTAAGAAACAGTTTTCAATTTTCAACGACCTTTTAATTTTTTTCACCTTTCTGAAATATAATTAAAGGTTATTTTGAGCTCTTAAGCGGTCACTACAAAATATAACCCTCAAAAATTCATTCATCTGTCCATAAATATTACAGAAAAATAAGCAAACCAGAATAAAAAAATCTGTTTTTTGAAAAACCCTTCTTACACGACATTTTTGTTTCAAAGCAGCTATAAGAAAAAAAAAATGAAGCTTCTGTAATAATTGAAATTGAGCGTAGCTCCTCTTGAATACATTTTTTTATCCCCAAAAATCGTCAAAAATGATCGGTTAACATTACCCTTATCTCGAAAATCTTGAATTTTCAAAACTTTCCAAACTCGAAAAATCCGAAATAATGAAGATTTGAGGGCACTTAAGTTGTCACTAATCATCCTCATTTTCCCAAAAATCCCTGATTCCTTTTTGAAAAACTCTCCAAATGAAAAATTCTCTATTGGAAACCAAAAATTTCGCCTGAGTGGGTCCCATTTTTCTCGAAAATTCTAAAACAATAAGGATTTGAGAGCCTTAAAGTGGTCACTAATCATCCTCATTTTCTCAAAAACCTCTGAAATCTCCTCCTAAAATCTTCTCATGAAACATTATCAACTGCAAACCAAAAAATTCGCCACGATATCAGCTATTTTTCTCGAAAAATCCATTGGAAGGAGAGTTTGAGAGCCCTCAAGTGGTCACTAATCATCCTTCTTTTTTTTTAAAACATCATTAATTCTCTCCCAAGCTATAAATATACAAAAAGTTCGCCTCGGTGGGTGCTATTCTTCTGACGACCGCCCTCCTGAACACCGATGTCCAGTTCAGACGACCGCCATCGGCTCACATCCCGGCCGATTTCAGGACCCCTGCACAATTCGTCATTGGCGACGGATGAGGATCGAACTCGCGGCCTTGAGAGGCACGGCGAGAGCACTTAGCCACTCGGCCAAGGTGTCGACTCATTGCCGAGGCGTCTTTTGGAGTCTTGGGCCAGGGATTTGGACTAATATGGGTTGAGGTGTGAATTTCCCATTTCCTAGAAGGAAATGGTGGGGATAATTGAGGAAAATGAGACTTTGGAAGTGTGGGGAATTAAAGTAATGATAATAATTTAGAAAAAAAGTAAGGAATTGATATTTTTGTTATTTCAAGAAAAAGCTTTTTAAATTTACGGAGTTACTTAAAAAAACACGATGAAACAGTAAAAACAGTTGTCCGTGTTTTTTTTAGACTCAAAACATTTTGACAATGAAAATCAACAAATTTCGGGAAAAAAATTTAAAGAAAAAGTTGGCTTTTTCTTCTTTTTTTATTCAAAACTGATAACGTCAAAATAAACAATTTTATCTAGAATTTTGAAAAAAACGTTCAAAAATGCTTTTAAATATATTGATTTTCAGTGTTTTTTTCTACTCCATATGAATTGGAAAAAAAGCAATTTTTTTCAGTCTCTTTTTAGCTACAAAGAAATGTATTGAAAATTTTGGAAGATCATTTTTTCGGTCATCTCCCAAAGCGTACTCCGCCAAATTCAAAATTACCCTAAATTTTCAGAATTAGGAAAAAAAAAATGAAAATTAACTTAAATATAGTGCTAAATATCAAATTTTTCAAAAATTTTCAAGGCAAATATAAGTCAAAATTCAAATTTACCAAAAAAAAAACTCACTTCTATCGATTCCTGCTTCTCCTGCGACGCAATACATGGGTCAATCGCGCCATTGGCTGGATCCGTGAGCTTAGCGCAGGCGGTTGCGCGTTCGCTCGCCACCGCCGAGGTGCCGGGTTCGATTCCCCACCACGCGTGCGTACTGGCAGTTGCAATCCGCCCATGGCGCAACTGTTTTCAAAGGCACGCCAGATTGGGAGTTGTCGCGACGATTACCGGGCTCGGCTTTCCTGTAAGCCGGCATCGGAGGACGTGCGGGCACAATTTTTCCTTTTTGAAATTCGAATTTCAAAATATTGAAAACGGCCGTGGACCGTGAACCAATGACAAAACTGAAGAAAAACGTTTATTATTCGATGAAAAAACTTCAATTCCCAAATTTCTTCACTTTATCTTTCTCAATGCAGTCGAACTTGAGCTCGGGACATTTCGTGGAGTTTTCCGGGCAACTAGGGGAGGTTTGGGCACAGTCGAACCCTTTGGAGCACCATTGATGTTCCAAGTTTCGGCAATCGCCTGGAAAAAGTTTTTTTTTATAAATTTGGGATAAACGGCTCTTCGCCTCAAGACCCTTAATAAATTTAAATTGTTTTTTCAGGCAAAGATCAGAAATCTGTTTCACGTCGATTGAAAAAACTTTGATCACCGCGCATCTTCAGTTTCACCAAAAAAGGTCCACTTGAAAACTTCCTGAGAAGTAATTTAGTGGCCACTTGAGAGGTCCTTTAAGGACTAATTGAAAAGGAGACTAGTAAGGTAGGGAAAATTTTTAGTGGCCCATATAGGGTTTTGACGTTTTAGTGGCCACCACAGTAGTCAAATTAGTGGCCACCTAAGGCGTTAAAAATTAGTGGCCACTATAGAGGTCTAAGCGCTACTACTAGACCCCTAAAAGTTTTAGTGGCCACTTTAGGGGTCAATGGATCAACATAACTGGTCCAATCTGTTTGTTTCAAAATTATCAGAGTTACTGAAAGGAATACTGGATGAAAAACTACTGAAGTGGCCACTAAAACGGAATATAGTGGCCACTATAGAGGTTGGTTTAGTGGCCACTTTAGTGTCCCGTCCAAGTAGTCCTTGGCGAGCTTCTATAGTGGCCTCTTAAAATTTTCTCAGGATACCACCTCTAAAGAAGACACTATTCTGCGTCAAAGTGACCACTATAGTAGTTTTTGTGGCCTAGTGGAACCAATTAGAGTTCTAAAGAGGCCACCAAGTTTAAGCCCCTCCAGGGGCCACTAAATTTTGTCTTTAAAAAAAGAGATGAAAATTGTAAAAATCCTCGAACACATCGATTAATTAAAAAAAGAACCGAAGTTTTTTTCAAAAATTTATTTTTTTAATAACTTTTTGAAACCAGAAACTCACGTGGAGGAACTTTTTTTCTTCAGGATCTGCGTTTAGAAAAAAAACCAAGAAAAAAATGCTGTACTTATAAAAAAAGACAACCTTAAAAATCAAATTTTTCACCGAAGAAAAAAATTGCGAGAAACCTTCATGTTTGAAAAATGAGCTCGCTGTTTCAAAAATTTTTTTCAAAAAGAAATATTCATTTCAAAAATGATTCCATTTCATACCGGTTTTTTTATATCAAATGGTTGAAATTTCACAGGAAAAATTGGAAAAATTCACTTTTTGGGAATGAAAAAAATTTTCACAGAAAAACTATAAAAATATTTCATTTTGTAAAGTTAAATATGCGAAAAAAAGATATAGAAACTGGTTTTTAGAAAAACATTGTTTAGTACTCTGGGAAAATGTTTAGTGGCCACTATAGGGTTTCGACGTTTTAGTGGCCATTATACTAGTCAAATTTTTGGCCACTTGAGGGGTCAAAAGTGGTCACTATAGAGGTCTAAGTGCTACTAATAGATCACTCAAAGTTGTAGTGGCCACTTTAAGGATTAATGGATCAATATAACTGGTCCAATCTGTTTGTTTCAAAATTATCAGAGTTACTGGAGGAACACTGGATAAAAAACTACTGAAGCGGCCACTAAATAGAGAACCTCTATAGTGGCCACTAAAACTGAATACAGTGGCCACTATAGAGGTGGATTTAGTGGGCACTTTAGTGTCCTCTCCAAGTAGTCCTTGGCGGGCCTCTTAAGGGGCCCCTAAAAATTTACCCAGTTTATCAACTTCTGGCCTTTTAAAGCCTTGATATTCATACTTCTGGCATTTCTATACCAATCACTTCAAAAAAATAAAATTTAAAAAAATCAATAAAAAAATCTTTAATCAATATTCAAGTGATAGGATGAAAGAGTGACAAGCGTATATCAGAAAAAAAATATTGAAAAGTAAAAAATTGACGAAAAAATGCAAAAAAATACACGTTTCAATGATTTTCGGGTCTTGAAAAGAGCTCCGAAATTGGCAAGAAAAGGTTCAGAAAAACATGATAAAGTGGGCAAGTTTGGCTTCGAAAAAAATATCTCGAATTTTAATAAGTGAAATTATACGATCAGAACAAATATGATCAACATGAAAAAGGCACAAAAAAATGTGAAAAAAATAGAAAAAAACTGAATTTTCAAGAAAAAGGTAAAACGGGCCGTGGGTAAGTGGCTTCAAATCGTCTAAAAACCTTCCGAAAAAATTTTTGAGCGTTTTTTTTTCGCTCTGGGTGCTTCTAAAGGATCCTCGAGGTCTTATTTTCTTAAAAAAATCTAAAAAAATTCCTCAAAAAATCGCCAAAATTTGAGATTCATAAAAAATTTCTTTGACCCAATTTTGAGAAAATCTAGAATATATATTTTTTTAAGCTTGAGAAAAATTTTTTCTGAACATTTTTTTAACTTTGGGTGCTTCTAAAGAATCCTCCAGCTTTGATTTTTTTAGAAAACCAAAAAAAAATTCTCAAAAATCGCCAAAAATCAAGAATTTTCAAAAGTTCTTTGATCCAATGTTGAGAAAATCTGAAAAAAAATCCATGCTTAAGCTAAAAAATGTTTTTCTGAAGCTATTTAGACCATTATCCACTAGCCCACAACCTTGAAAATAACAAAAATCACAAGAAACACAAGAAAAGTACCCAAAAAATCAATTACACGAAGTCTAATCGTAAGAATCGCAGTGGTTTGAGGTATGTATCCAGCGGTATCGATTGGCACGGGTGTGAATAAAATGACAAGATCGGCATATATAGACATGGAAAAACATGTGGAGAGCTTTAAGAAGTTTCGATTTTGGTCGGCGGCTCGACGTCTTCTGGATCGACGTTGGTCGTTTCTTCATTTTCCGGCTCGGATTCGTCCAAAAGAGCCATGATTTGGTCGCGGATCTTAAGGAAGTTTGATGAGAAAAAAAAATTGATTGAAATTTTCATGAATCAAACTCCCTCTTCTATAAAAATCGTAAAAATGAACGAAACAAATATTTCTCGAACAAAATAGGAAACCATCAAACCGAGTTCAAAAAAAGCCAAGGAAACTTTCAAAACTTAAAACGAATCAGATTTTTTGGAAAAAAAAAACTGCTAAATAAAAAGACCCGTTTAAAAGTCTGAAATATGCCTTTTTCAGTGAAAATCCTCCTGAATCTAGAAAAGGCTTCTCAAATTTGGGAAAGACTAGGGAACTTCTAGATGGATTGATGAATGATTAAAAAGCCTAAAAAACCGAAAAAACTTCAACAAATCTGAAAAAAACCTGTGGAAGCCCTACTACATTCTCTGGTTACAAATTTTCTTCAAACCAACCTTTTTCCGCTTTTTCACATCCATCTTCTTCAGTTTCAGGCCAATGATACGACAGTAGAGCAAATCCTCGTCGTTCATCCAATCCATGGCCATTCGACCGGCCTGGAATTTATCTTCTGATGAAAAAAAGTTGATTTATCGAAAAAGTTTGAACAAAAATGGAAAGCTTGTTAGATCTTTTCATCTACACGAAAATTTAATTTTTCAACTTTTTATTGTTTTTCAAAATCACCTGCAACATTTGGGCCCTCAACAAGTGCTGCTGTTGGTGTTGGCGGTTCTGTCGAAGGTATTGATCCTTGTACGTGAATGGAGGCAATTGAGTGTGTGTCTGCAATCGAGAAAAATAATAATTTGGGCCAATCAAATCATACAAAAACTTCTGGAACACTGAAATACTTCAACCAAATTTTTTCCCTTGCAAGAAGAGAATATTCACCGTCGCATCTCCATATCCATTCTCGTTCTTGACAGGCCCCTTGGGCAAGTTGGCGAGCTGTGTCGCGAGCGACGTTGCAAAACGCGCGTCGCTCCTTTTCTGCGACGGCGAATCTTCGTTTCCAGACGCGGCTTCCATGTCTCCATCCGTGTCGTCGTGATGATTGAAGTGTCCGGAGGTCGGCGTCGACGTCGTCGGCCGATTCTCAGAAGACGTCGGCGCTTGTTCGTCTTCCACGTCGACGCCAAGGCCGGACGTGCCGACGCTGTGAGGTCCCGAGTCGTCGTTGTCCACTGGAAATGAGCATGGTTTGAGATGGAATATTCTGGAAGACGGACTTCCAGGCGAGGTGCTGTTCGGCCGGGGATGGGTCGTGGCGAGGAGGCGGTCGAGTACAGAAGCTGACGCGTCGTATGGGGCGTCCATCGATTCAAGATCGTCGTCTAAAAAGAAAAATGAAGAATTTTATGTAAGAAATGACTCTGACAAGCTCTGGCATCACAGTGAATGGTAAAAAATAAAGTTTCAGAAAAAACGGTACAAATTTTCGCGAAATCTAGTCATAAAGGCTCAAATTTGGATTCTCTTTATTCTGAGGAAACAAAATTTCAATATTTTTGATAGATTACTTCCAAGGAAAAAATGGCAAAAAGGAATTTCGGCGAAAGGACTCGAACCCTGACACCATTCTACGCAGTGCAAGCGCGCTAGCCACTACACCACGCTGCAAACTCGTAGCAAAGGCGTCTACGCGACACAGATTCCTTCTCGCTGTATAACTGCGAGGCAAATGTCGTCAATTTTTATACAAAAAACTTCCAGAGCTATAAAAAGCTTAAATATTCCCTCAAACTTCATCAAAAAAATCAGAAAACTAACAAAAACCCTAGAATGACCCCTCAAAACTCACTCTCGTCCATATTCTCGTCCTGGAGCGAGGTCAGGGTGCTGAAGTCGAACCAGTTGAAGCCGGCCGGGGATCCGGATTGGCCATTGCCTCCAGAATTCGGCATCTGAAGCTGCGGGGTCGTCGTTCCATCCAGATGCATTCCGTCGGCGGCGAGGGCGCTGGAAAATCTCAATTTCTTTCTGGGAATACTTACAAGAAGGCCATTTTATTTTTCGGTTTGGAATTTTTAAAAATGGGTCAGAGTGATCCTTGAAGTACCAGAAAGTGATTCTGAAAGTCTTAATTTACGAAAATTCCTAGTTTTCGAGAAACAAGGGCGCAACTTTTGATTATATCGATTTTTGATCGTTTTAAGGCTTCTTTTCTTCAAAATTGGGAAGTTTTGGAAGTTTTAACCTTTATCTGAAACATGAGAATTTCAGAAAATCCTCACATGTTATCTTTCAGATAGGGGTCGAGCCAAGACAGTTGACTGAAGTAACACCAACGAATCGGGGTCACGAAATTGTTCTTGATCGCCATTTTCAGCTCTTTCCGGTACCGATCCCTCAGTTGGAGCCATCGTTTTTTCGCGAATTCGCCTGAAAAATATTGTTATTCTGAAATCCGCATAAAAATTTATCATTTTAAAAATTTCACACGAAGTATCGACAGCTCGGAAAAAAACTTTGAATTAATAAACATTCGATCAAAGACCCCCTAAAAATCAGAATTTTCAATATAGCTCGAACAGTTTCATTACCTCATAAGGTACTCCAATTGCGAGGTCAATACATATTTATATTTTTGGTAAGACCTGGAAAATCCGAAAAAAACTCTAAACTGCGAAAATTTGTAGTGGCCACTATAGGGCTCTGATGTTTTGGTGGCCCCTATAGTAGTCAAATTAGTGGCCACTTAAGGGGTTAAAAATTAGTGGCCATTATAGAGGTCTAAGTGCTACTACTAGATCACTAAAAATTTTAGTGGCCACTTTATTGGTCAATGGATCAACATAACTGGTCCAATCTATTTGTTCTGAAATTATCATAGTTACTGGAAGGAATAATGGATGAAAAACTACTGAAGTGGCCACTAAATAGAGAACCTCTATAGTGGCCACTGAAAAGGATGATAGTGGCCACTATAGAGGTCGTTTTAGTGGTCACTTTAGTGTCTTCTCCAAGTAATTCTTGGCGAGCACCTATAGAGGTCACTAAAAAAACTTTCCCAGGAGCGTAGAAAAGCTCAATAAACTTTGTAAACTTGTAAACTGTCTATAATTTTTTTTTTTAAAAAAATACCATTTTCTAGGTGAAAAAGGCTTGATGTTCGAGTCCCCCAAAAAAAGAATAACTTCTCAACTTTCATTCAATCCAACAATATCAAAAGATCCATTTCGAAGCTCAGACGAAGAAAAAAAAAAGAAGAGATTCATTGTTTTCCATGCGTGGCCTTGTGTCTTGGTTTCATTTAGAGAAATTGGATCCGTCTGGCCCGGTTTTCGGCAATAAACGGAAGGAAGCTGGGCCGGAGCCTTCACGTCAGTCTGAGTATATATATATATTGGCCAGTCGCCAGAAATCGTGGTCTTCGATTTGAATCAAAAGTTTGTCGTGATACTCAACTTGAAGGCTCATGGGTTAAATGATCAAAAATAACTTTGAAAAAGACTTTTCGCGTCGAGACCTTCATAAATTCTGTCTATGCTCCTTTAAAAAAACCGTGAGGTGTTCTGAATAATTTATACGAGGAAAACAACTCTAGAAACGAATTTTTACGTGGAAAAGTCGGTTTTTAAGTTTTATGAACTACTCGAAACTATATATCAATGTGAAAAGAATAAAAAATCAAATGGAAAAGTAAAAAAAAAAAGAAAAATCTGCTTTGAAGTCTTTCTGTATTTTTAAAGGAGCATGGATCAATTTGATAAAGGTCTCGACGCGAAAAAAAGCCTTTTTTTCCAGTGTTATTTTTTTGAATGTAATTCATGTTTTTTTCATTTTGAACTTCTTTCAGCCTACAAAAAAATCAAAAAAATCTCGTTAATTTTTCAAATTTACTATGCTTTGGAGTCCGTTGGACATGAGGAATTTGAAAATTACGAAAAAATCACTAAAAGATTATTCCAAACGACCTCCTCCATTACTCCAGGGAGATCTTCAGGAAAAGTGGTCATTTTTTCCGGCGAACGATATCGATTGCCACCAGATGTTACAAATATCCATTTGCCTTGGACGATATGGCGAAAAGTGTATTAAAAGGGGGAAAAATGGGATTTTTTCCGGACCGAAAAAATGTCTTTTAATGGATCAAAAAGCAACGGAAACAGGGACAAAGTCCAAAAAAGCCTCAAAAACAAGAATCTAGAGCTTTTTTTGAGTTCCTAAGAAGGTGTCAAAAATTTATCTGAATCTCTTTTTTTCCATCTTTTACCTCTTAAAGAAGTTCAAAGAAAAAAAGATCTTCAAAGGTTTTTTTAAGGATTTTTTTCCAAAAGGTTATTTTTTTAAGTTTTTTTCTGGTCTATGTATAGAGCCGGTTCAGAAAAAAACGCGGTTTGGAAAATATCCCAATTTTTTCTCAATAAACTTATTACAGGTTTTTCAGTACTCATTCCGTCTGTCAACTGGTCCTTTTTGAGCATTTTCTAAGCCATTTTGATTAAAATTTCATGACTGTATGACCTGTCTGCGCTCTCTTCTCTCTCGCCAGCTAAAAAAAGATAAAAAAATCGAAAAATTTTTTTCTACGGATTTCTCAGAAACTTGACTTGAGATCATTTCCCAATTTGCCAATTTTTTTGAATTTGTGAAGTCGTTTTTTTCTTGCTGAAAATCAAGCCGTAAAGCTGTTTTTTTATCGTTCTTAAAAAGTTTTTTTATTAAAAAAAGTCCCAGCTGTTTGATTTTTTTTTTCTTGATCAATAAAACCCTTTTCGAAGCTTAAAACTGAACAAGACCCTTTTGGAAGCCTATTTCTGTCAATTTTTCTCATGCCGTGTTCAATTTGATTCCGCGAAATGCGTAATTATCTCTGACTCTCCAAAATTTAGTGATCTTTTCCTTTTTCTAACGGTATTTCGCATTTCGCGGAATCAAATTGAACACGGCAACAACTTTTATCGATTTATTTGTTCTTCTAGAGCATTTTCCCCCGATTTGGGCCCGTAACCAACCCGAACAACTGTTGTCGATCTTCTTGGCGATGGTGTCCCAGAGCTTCATCCTCTCGATAGTGTCTCCACTGCCACGTCTCGTATGATTGTACAGGCATTGGTGCTGTTTGACCTCCTCGATCAGCCGCGCGTTGAACGCCGGTTGGAAGGCCATCTGCAATGAAAAAAATGATGAAAAGGGAAGGAAAAAAGTTCGAGAAACCCAAAAACCTGGGTTGGCCAAAATTGCAAACCAGAAGAAAAGAGGAAAAGGAAATATGAATCTATAAATTAGCTTCAATCTTGAAAAATTATTCAAAAAGTTTTTTTTTCGCAAGTTTTCTGTACAGCTCTGTTATAACTTATTCTTTATTGACAAACACTAATTTTGGAAGATCCAAAAAAATTCGAATCTCAGAAGCTCAATGAAAACATAAAAATCTTGAAGTTCGTGGAACACTTTTAGAACGTTTTATAATCCAGAAATCGCAGCTCTTTATAGCATCCAAAGGTCGAAAGCACTATACAACTACTTTCTGAAGATCCCATATCACTATTTGATCCCAAAAGAGTCCGCAGTCCTAATCTTTAAATTTTTGCAACTGCTCAACTCGAAAACCTTCGATAAATCACTTATGTATCAAAAATAACTGTTAAAAATTCTTCTCAAAGACCTTAGTAGACCCCTCAAGTCCTAACCATACTCTAGGTTCATCATTTTCTTCAAAAGCTCGACAAAAACTCAACCAAGGTGAGAAGTAACTGAAAATAAAGTATAAAAACAGCTTCAGAGTCCCTTTTGATTGCTCAAACATGTGCCATGCTCAAAATTTACTGTTATTCTTAAAAGCAGGAGATGAAAATTAATCAAGGTAGGAAGTACCTGGACGTTAAGTATGAAACCAAGCTCAGGGTCGATTTTCACCTCTCAAAGACCAGTAGAGTCCTCAAACCCTAGGCATACTAAAAAAAACCAATATTTTTTTCAGAACTTTGAGAAACACAATCAAGGTAGAACTTACCTAGAGATAAATTATAAAAACACTTTCATGCTCAGTTCTGACTCCTCAACTTAGCAAACTCAATATCCATTACTTCCTTCAGAGTCTCGAGAAAAAATCTAATCAAGGTAAGAAGTACCTGGAGGTAAAGTATAAAAACAAGTCGAGCCTCATCAAACCTTAGTAGACCCCTCAAACCCTAGCCATACCAAAAACACATATATTTCCTCAAAATCTCGAGAAAAACTTGATCAAGGTAGAATTTGCCCGTCATTGAAGTACAGAATCAAGTTCAGAGCCCGTTTGGACTCCTCAAAGCTAGCTCATAAGACGCCTGTAACCCTAGCAATACTCAAAATTCATCAATTCCCTCAAAATCTCGAGAAAAAAACCAAGAGTTTGTTCCAACTTCGAGAGACACAATCAAGGTAAAACTTACCTAGAGATAAATTATAAAAACACTTTCATGATCAGTTCTGACTCCTCAACCTAGCCATACTCAAATCTCGAGAAAAAACCGAATCAAGGTAGAAAGTAACTGAAGGTAAAACTTCAGAGTCAGGGTTGAAAGGGAACGAAAAAAAGCGCGTGAGCCGTTTCACCGGAAACCGATCGACACACGGCCGAGAGCAAACACGAAACAGACAAAAAGCGACGAAAACTGCGACGGCAAACGGCCCCGGCTCCTTTTTTTTCTTTCTGCTTTCCAAACTGAAAAGTATGTGTGTGTGTGCCGGTCGCGCCATCCCAACCATCCGTTTATTTTTGTCGATTTTGCGGCGATAGTTTGGAGGAGGTTAGAGTTGCCGGCAGGCAGGGGGGATAGATTGGATTGGATTTTTATTCTTTCATTTGGTTACTGTCTATTGGCAAGGAGAGTATTTTCAATTATACGGGAAGTAATTTTACTTTGCGGTTTGGAATTTTCAAAAAATCCGCTCAAACACTCTCTGAAGGTCTAGATGAAGATACCTCATAGTCGCTACCTGCGCAAATTTCTAGTTTTTGAGATATTAATTTTTGAAATTTGCGTTTAATGTAGTTTCAGGCCTAACTTTTCGAAATTTGATGGTCGAAAAGTTAGGTCTAAAACTAATTTCCCGCAACTTTTAAAAATCATATCTCAAAAACTTAGTGAAGCTGTCGTCAAAAATATAGGATTTGATGGAGCTTTGGACATTTTTCAAGAATAAAATCAGCTCCGAATTCTCAATGGAGGAGAGTTCAAAGATACCGTCCAATATTATTGAATCAGAACCGATTTTTCCTTTCTTTCAGTTGGTTACTGTCTATTTGGGAAGAAAGTAGTCTCAATTATGCGATTTTGAATTTTTCAAGCTTTTGTACATCTTTTAGAAATAGGAAAAAAATTTCGAATTTTTAATGGAGGACAGTTTAAAGCTACTGTCTGTCATTATCGCATCAGATTGGATTTTTCCTTCCTTTCAGTGAATTTCAAAAATGAAAAAAGTTTCAAATAAGAGGGTAAAGCTACCCTCAGAAAGTGAGACTTTTTCTCTTTCTGATGATTACTGTTTTTAGAAAGGAAAAAATAAGGAAAAATTATTTTATAAGGTGATTTTGACAAATTAAGTTCAAAAATTGTCCGGTCGAGATAGTTTGAAGGAATTCAGAGCTTTCGTCAAAAAAATATGGGATTATATAGGAATTTGAAAGTCTTTTTAATTACTACCGTATCCTACGTTTGAAGGGCATTCCATAAAAAAATCACTACTGAATTCTGGATTTTTTTGAATAATTATATTTCAAAGCTCCAAATTTTGTTCTTTACGTTTATTTGATTTCAAAGGCTCGAAAATAAACAAAAAAAAATTTTTGAGTGTTTTTTCTGATGATTCCGTCAAAATTGAGCTTGAAAATTATTTTTTTCGGTCAAATTTTGAACAGAATCCAAGAAATCAACCAATTATTACCACTGAAAACTACCCTCGGGCCTAAATAAAGGATCATCTTCAGAAGCTATTGAAGAGCAAAAGCTGCAGCTGGCCAATGGGCTTAAGCGAGCTCAAAAGCCCGAGAAATGGCATATTTTGAGTTCACAAAGTTCAAATTCGGGGTTCAGAAGAACAAATTTCAATTTAAAAAAAAAAATAATAACAAGATTTATTCGTAAACTAGACGAGGTTCTCGATAAAGTGAACTGATCTACAATCTTTTTACTGCAAGAAAAAAATGGGAAAAAATATTAATTTTATCCATCTTTCAACAGTTCGAAAAGCACAGATAAGTGAAACTAGCCTAGAATAATGATCAAAAAAAGGCGTTTCAATTTAAAAATTATGAAGTTTTTAAAAACGAAGAACTTTAAAAAGAATCTAAAAATTTTTTTAAAAGTTCTAAAAAAAGCCATCGAATCATTTGAAAAAGTCTACTAAATGTCAATTTTTTTTCTAAAAAAACTTTTTTTAGGTAATGATGGGTTTGGTATGAAAAATCAGTATCAGATTTTCAAAAAAACGACTAATTTTTAGAATTCCCTATCAAAAATATAATGAAACTTTAAAATCAAATTTCTCAATCGAAAAAAAAAATCGATTTTTCTACTTTTCATCCAGTTCTTCTCATTTAAAACTTTGGAAGACGACTTATTTCAGTTTTATCCTTTCTAAAAATCTTCTGGATCGCCCGAATTATCAAGAAAAAAAAAATGACGACCAAGTTTCTGATATCAATTTTATCAGGATCCACCACGAAAACGCCCTCAGTTCATTTGATTCAAAGTGAACGTTTGAATTGTCCTATTGATCGGAAAAATCGATTGTCCAGTCCTTCTTATTCTAAATTTCCTATCCAGCCGTTGAAAAAATTTCCATCTTCCGTTTGCCTCCAAAAACTCAATTCAGTTGATCAGAAGAACCCGCTGTCGCAGAAGGTTGCGGTGAAAAGTCGGGAAGGAAAACGGACAAAAAAAAACATTATCAGAGCTCTGATATCAACTTTAATGACTTCCGTCAAAAAATCATTTTATGCACCGGAAAGTTTTGCCAGAGATCAGAGAGATTAAAAACTCAATTGCTCCAAAAAATTCTTCAGTAATGTCCGAATTCCATGGACCTCCTTCCGTCAAAAAGTCTCTTCTTTTAAATTTCCACCCAAACAAAAAAACTCCTTAGCTTCGCCATTTATCAGAAAAATCGATTCTTCACTCTCCTTCTAAATTTCCTATCCGGTCGTTAAAGTCTATCACCCTTCCTTCCGCCTCCAAAAAACTCAATTCGGTTGATCAGAAGAACCCGCCATCGCAGAAGGAAGGTTCCGGTGAGAAATCGGGACGGAAAATGGACGAGTTTTATGGATGGAAATAGGTTGACATCGTCCGATTCGTCGCGACGCGCCAACCACGCGAAATCGGCGCCGGTTTTCCGTCCGCTCAACACGAAACTTGTGTGTGTGTCGGTGTGTTGGATCAATCCGATTTCGATCTTCTTTACTTTTTTGTGGGCCAAAATGTAGTGTTCCCTGGTGAAAATGGCTTTGGAAGCTTGGAGGAAAAGCCTAGAAGTTCAGAAAAAGGATCCGTATTTTTATAAACTGTGATTTTTGAGTTTAAATTTTAATTTTTCGAATAGGACTTATGCTTGAGAATCTTTTAAATCAATAAACTTTTCAAAGATTCTGTAGGAATAATGAAAAAATTCAGGCTTTTTCCAAGAAATTCGGGTTTTTTTCATCGTTAAAAAGGACTTGGAAAGAGCCTGAATTGCTCAAGATTTCGAATTAAAAAAAAATTTTGGTCTTTTTTTCACTTGTCTGTGCATTTGCAGCTGTTAGAAAATGGTCAAAAAGAAGATTTTTTTTTCCAAAAATGCAGTCCAGAAGTACAAAACTATCACGATCCGGAAAATAAATTATTCAACTCAAAAATGTTTCCTTTCCTTTAAAAAAAATGACCCCGAAGGCTTGGAAAACCCTCAAAGAAGCTACTAAGGACATGGAAAAAAGAGAAAAAAAAATTCTTCAGAAAAATTCTATCAGAAATCAAGCTTGGAAAAATCAGAAGATTAAAGAAAAATATGATCAAACTCAAATTTCCGAAACGAAAAAAACCCAAAAATCATCAAAAAAGAGGAGAAAATACCCGTAAAAAGTACGGTTCTCCAAAAAAAAAAATCACAAGACCCACATCATCTTTAGAAGGCGATGGTGAAGCCGCCGACATCTTCTTTGACGTCTTCAGAATTCAGAATCAGAAAAATTAAAAATCTCGTAAAGTCGACGTCTTCAAAGAGGCTGAGCAGAGCCAGACTTCAGAATTAACGAGTTGTAAAAAAAGTTCAGAAGCGGGACCAATATCAGTATTCTGAATACTTAAAAATAGCTGACGTCTTCAGAATCCGGAAACTGAATCGGAAGCGACGTCTTCAGAGTTGTGCAGCTTCTTCGACTTGATCAACGTCTTCGAAATTCAGAAAAGGCTTCAGAAGCGACGCCTTCAGAATTTTCAGAAGAGACGTCTTCAAAAAATCAGAACTCAAAGACTTTCTGAGAGCCGACGTCTTCAGTGAATCAGAATATTCTCTAGAATCAACGTCTCCAGAATCCAGAAGCCTTTCCAGAAACAAGACGTCTCGTAGCCAAGAATAAACGGAGGCCTGGTTTTGCGTGACCCCCAGCCGCCGGCAAAGGATTTGGGACGAAAAAAAAAAGGAAGGAGAAACGACGTCGACGCAGCCGAATCTCGCCACGTATTCCGGTTGAGAAGAAGGGGGAGGAGGCGAAAAAAGGGGGCGTGGCCCCGGTCGGACGGCCGGAGGCGTCCGCTTGGCGCGCCGCTCTCCGGCAGGGGACACCTTCTGCTACTCTCCGCTTTTTCCACACTCTCTCCTACCACCAACTCTATATTTTTTTCCACTCCATTCCTATTGTTATTGTTTCCGTTGCAGCAACGGGGTTATTTTGATGGATCGATAGCGATCGAAAGAGTCGAGTAGGAAATTGACTCGGACAAAAATAGCAGCACCAAAAACAGCCCAAAAAGGATGTTTTTGCGCTCCACAAATAATAAAAAAAGACTTCTTACCAATAAGTTATTTAATATGGAAGAAGGAAAAAGCGAAAAATTTACTTGAACTGAAAAAAAAAATGAAAAGACTCGATTTTTTTCTCTAATGAAAAATGAACTTCATAGAAAAAGAGCTGTCAAAAAGTGACTTGAAAAAAATATTTTTTATGCTCTATGGACAAATCTCGTTTTTAAAAACAGATATACAAAAAATAAGGTATAAATATAGCCACAAAAAAGTTCTTATTCAGTCTCTATTAAGAAAAAAAAAGTTCAATGGAAGTCTTGAAAATGGCCAAAAGGTTGCTGCAGGAAAAATGCGCTCTATCGATAAACTTGCAAATATCCTATCAATAGGTTAATCCGATCTACGGTTTCAATTTGAGAAAAATAGGTACAGGAAAATGCGCTCTAACGACAAAATCGCAAAGTCTCAATAGTTTTCTTAAGGCAACCATGGTATCACCTTGGCAAAAAAATAGCTACCGGAAAATGCGGTTTTTTTTTAAAATCTTAAATTTCCCACAAGAAAGGTAAGTGGATCCAAGGGACCAATATGAAAATAAATAGCCATAAAATAGCTACGGGAAAATGCGCTCTATCGATAAAATTGCAAATATTCCATAGAAGGGGCAATTTCGGGAAAATTGCTACGGGAAAATGCGCTCTAAGGACAAAATAGCAAAATTTCGATAGTTTTCTTAAAATCTAGACAGCCATGGTGTCATTTTTGAGAAAAAAATGGCCAAAAACAGCAACGTGAAATTGCGCTCCATCGATAAAATCACAAATTTCTACATTTTCCTCACAGCCTAGACAGCCATGGTGTCCATTGGGAAAAAAGGAATAACTGTAAAAAATAGTTGAAAATCTGCCATTTTTCCTCAAAAAATCAAGCCGTGACTTCCAAATATTGGAACATCCGATCGGTTCAACTTCGAAAATTACGCAAATTTCCTAAGCTAACAGCCGCTTCTTTCTCTTCACCCAATAACCCAGTTATCTACCCGGGGCCCAATCAGTAAAGTCGTCCTGTTCAGAAATCGATCCGACCGGCCCTTATCAGCGACCGACGGAATCAAGCCGCCATCGATCGGCTTCTTATCACCATTTATATTATTCCCTTTTCTGAAGGTTTTGGGGTCAAAAGGATCAGTTGAAAGCCGGAAAGTTACTAAAAAAAAGCTCATAAGTTCAAAAATACGTAAAATTTTTTATCTTACATAATGATAATTTTGAAAAAATCAAAAAAAGAAATCATAACGACTTTAGAAGCTTCAAGAACAGACAAAGCTTTTTCTAGCCTATTGATTGACAAAAATCTAGACCTTACAGACTTCTTAAAACTCATGACTACTACAGAGCAACCATATTTTTTGCAAAATGGGAAAGTTTTTCAAAAATTCATAGTCCATTCAACAAAAGCCTCAAAAGATTTTCCTTGTCTGGAAATTTCGGAAATTTATCCAAACTCCCAGAAAATTCTCCAAAAATGCTTCTTTTCCTTCAGGTGAATCCCAAAATTTCCTTGAACCCAAAAATGTCAAAAATTGTTCTATCCAAAGCCATCAACTTATTCTTGTTCCTACAGATTCCTCAATTCAACCTTTTATTTTTTAAAGTTAAATACACTTTTCCGAGCCCTATCTTCATTGTAAACTTTCAAAGTGACTCTGAAAACCAGAAAATCTACCTTGAATATCGAAAATCAGCTCTCAGACATTCCTAGAAGCTTCTAATACTCTAAAATCAGAATTTTCGTGAAAAGATCCAATTTTTAGTAAATCATTAGCTTCTTCTTGTTCTCGCATACTATTACGCATGCGAAAGAATTTTAAAAAAACCAAAATTTTTCTCAAAAACTCGATTTTTCGTCCAGAACTATCAGCTCTCTCTTGTTCTTACATGTTCTTACCCATCCGAAAAATCTCAAATAGGCAAAATTTCTCTTTTTCAATCCAAAACCTTACCCTAACATATCCCTCAACTCAACCTAGCCGTAGGAAAGAAAGAAACTCCGAAAGAGACACACCGGAAGTCAGGAATTACTCCGGCGGTGAGCAAAATCACGGGCGGCTCTCCTAATTTGCCGGCCCCCGAGGGCAGAGAGATCGAGAGAGTGTAGAGAAGGAGAAAACTTCTTTTTTTGTTCGTTGAAACTTCTTTCCTCCCCCATCAAACGTTCTTCCCGTTCATCCGTCCCGTGAAGGCTTGGATCTTGCCGCCTTTTCAAGTGGCAGAGAAAGACGTCTCCTCGACTGGCGTCGTCTCTCGTCGACGTCTTCCTTCTGCCACTGCAGCGCAGCCGGACCAGCTGGCCGGAATTTTTCAGGAAGTCGTTCTGGGGGTCGCTTAGCGAGTCATACGAATATTCACGTCTGAGCATTTGGTAGAAAAATCTTGAATTTTTGGGATCTACAAGGGGTGATTTTTCATTCAATATGATAAAAAAATGATCTAAAAAAACGAAAAAGTAGCTGAAAAAAAGTTAAAATTTTCGTCTTTTTCCAGATTCCAAACTCATAATAATATTGAATTTAATAACTTCTACTTCATATAAAAAACCATCGACAATTTTTCTAGCTCCCTAAATTTCTAATTTTTTTCAAGCGGAGGGGGCTTATTTTTAGGAGTATTTTTTATACCTCAGACCTTTATTTGAAAAATCTCAAACTACTACAGCTAAAAAAACGATCAAAATGAAGCGTTTTTTTAAAAATTACACGCTTCCCAAGCCCCCAAAGCAGCACTTATCTTCACTTTTAAAAAAAAACAACGGCAAAAAAAAATTGCGCAGCCTGGGGATCGAACCTATGACCCCTTCGGCCGTCTTCCTACTTGAGAAAAAAATCAGGTTTCTTCAAAAATTTTGCAAAAAATTTGTTCTTCTACTTATCAATCTTCAGATGGAGTTCAAAAAAATGATGGAAATCAAAATTTCAACAAAAAAAAATCTTTAAAGCTTTCTCAAGACATGAATTGCTTTCAAAAATCCCTCCAGAAGCTTCAGGAGGGGGGCTCTAGAAGATTTTTTTCAGGCCTTCCTATTCTCAGAATATCTTTTGAAAAAATCCAGAAGCTTGGTCAAACCGCAGAAGATGCTCAAGGCGCTTCAGAAGCTTCAAAAACTTCCGAAATAATACTCTGAAAGGTTTCAAAACCGCTCTGAACAAACTTCGGACGCTTTATTAATCATTTCAACAATTCAGGACCATCAAATCCACCCCAAACTTCCAAAAAATCAAATTTCCCGCTCCATCCAACCACATCAATCTACATCATCGAGTAGGAAAAAAAAACTAGTCGTTGGAATAAATCAAATGAATAATCGGATTAGGGGAATGTCCTGCCGAGATAATCGCGGTTCCGTCCCAGAAAGGAACGGAGGAGAAGATTCTTCTCCACACACGGACCGGTTTTTCCACGGAATTTCAAACTGATTCCGTGAAGAACAATCGAATGGATTGATCGTCTTTGGATCATTCTAACCAAGGCAGATTCGCTTTAGGAAATGTGGAAAAGGGGTCTAAATGGCCTTGAAACCTAAAAAAAAACCCTAGAATGAGCATTCCAGATCGTTCTCCAGATCTAAATGAAAACTATTTTTTCGAAAAAAAAAAATTGAAAATTTTCTGAGAGACTCAAGTGAGCCTAACTTTACTCAGGAACGCCAGAGTGGTCCCTGTAGGGCCAACCATAGGAGCGCTTGAAGGTTCCCCTGTAGGGGCCACTTGAGCTTTCGAAAGAGGACCCAAACGGAGAGCATGCTAGAAAATTTAATAATCAATCAATTTTTATTGAAAACGCTTTCTAAAACATTAAAAGACCCTCATAAAGCCCACCTAAGTTTTCCCCTTTAGGGAGCACTTTTCTGTCCCCTACAGGGACTGCTTTTTTCCAACCCCTATAGAGACCATCATGGCATTCCTCAGTCCATATCAAGACACACGAGGACCTAGAAAAAACTCGGAGAATGACCAAAAACCAAACTAAGGAGCTTGAAGCTCTTCATGATTGCCCAAAAACCTTGACCAAAATAAAAATTACACTACTTCTAACAAAAATCAGTAAAAATCTTTCAGAGCTTCTTCCATAGACTTTCTAAAGAACCCCATGCTTGAAACTTTCCAAAATCACCTAAAACCCCAGAAATCGGAGAATGACCAGAAAAGGCCTTTGAAAATTTTCACTAAACTAAGGAGCTTCAAGCTCTTCATGATTGCCGAACAACGTTGACCGAAATAAAAAAATTATATTATTTCTAACAAAAATCAGTAAAAAATCTTTCAGAGCTTCTTCCATAGACTTTCTGAAGAGCCCCATGCTTTCCAAAACCACCTAGAATCCCAAAAAAGTCGCTTTTTCCCCCTGTTTTTAATTTCTATATCTATGCGGTCTTCCCATGAACTAAAAAAATTTTGAAAACCTCATTTTCTTGGGAACCTCTAACATTACTTCTCTTACTTATATTCTCATGCAAAACTCAGAAAAAAAGATAAAAAAAGTGTGAGTTGGGAACCTTTTCAGGGGATCTATAGATCGAACGAGGTTCTCTGTGAATCCTTCCCATCTCTCGCAAAATCCGGAAAAAAAAACCAGGAAAAAAACCAGAAAAAGCGGATCCGACGGGGACCAAAATCATGAAGAACCACAAAAAATCATTATTTTCCTCTCCAATCAAATTTGCTCATGAATTATTCAAAAAAAAAAAAACGGTCTAAAAGTTGCCTTTTTCTCAAAAATTCCACACAAGTTCGGAATTTTTCGGAGGGGCCTAAGATCGACAGGGGTTCTCCCGTCCCCTTCAGAATCCAGAAAAAAAAGAGACGGACAGAAAAAAGAGAAGAAAAAGCGGCGGATCCGACCCTAACAAGCGGTCGGTCGGGTGGGGATAAACTGCCTAAGCGCCGGTTCGACCGTCTTTCCAGTCGTAGGCTTCGGATCTAAGCCAAGCCGAGGCAGTGTGGCCAGGGCAGCCGGCAGAGCGGCACGCCGCCTCCGTTTCCGTTTTTGCTGCGTGCGCCTGCTGCCCCCCTTCGCTTCGCCGTATATGGAGGAGGATGTCTCGCTTCCGAACACCTCTCCTGCCGTCGGTCGGTCGAGTAAAAAGGGAGCTTCTGATGGACAGAAACCAGGGAGTTCTTTTGTGAAAATCCCAGAGGCAATTGAACTTTTTTGGGGTCTCCATTGATCTGTTATTAGGTTACTATAAGGAGGAATTCTGAAGGTTGGAAAGAACGGTGTTAAATAAAGCAAAAAAAATGTACCTCCTCCAGTTCACCCAGAAACAACCCGAAAAAAAACGTCTCAAGAGGCAGCTTTTGCGCTCCAAGGAGAATCAAGATCAAAGCCTCTCCTGCTGTTGGACAGCCAAGTAGAAGCTTCTGATGAACAGAAACCAAGGAAGATGCCGAAAATCGAAAGGAATGGAGTTAGAAGTTATCCTTCTGAAGAAAAAACTGCCACGAAAGTACAGTTGCATTCAAGTTCTGTATTCCGAAAGTGAACTCAAAACTGTGTAAAAATATGCATCAGCCGCAAAAATAGCCTATCCAGGTCAACCATTTGCGCTCCAAGGAGAATCACGATCAAAGCAGCCAAGTAGAAGCTTCTAACAAACAGAAACCAAGGAGAAATGCCGAAGATTGGAAAAAATAAAGTTTAAAAAGGCAAAAAAATAGCTTCTTGAGATCAAAATTTGCCGCAAACAAGTTTGTCGAGATGATAGTCAGAGACTTGCAAGTCTGACAACTTTCTTCGGTCGTCCGGGAAAAGAGGAGCCTCAGGTGGACAGAAACCAAGAGGTAGAACCGAATATTGAAGAAAAGTGAAAAAAAAGTCGTGGAAAAATATGTTTTTGAGACGACTTTGCCCCGCCGCAAAAATAGCCTCTCCAATTCGAACTTCTGCGCTCTATGGATATTCAAGTCCTGATGTTGGATGGCCACGTGGAAGCTTCTAATGATCAGAAACACAGAAGCAATGCCAAAGATTTGTAGTTTAGAAAAGCCAAAAAATGGCCATTTCTTGTCAAAATTTTGCGCTCCAAGGATAACGAAACGTCAAAAGTCGGAAAAAGGTACACATATTCTCGAAAATATAGCCTTTCGAATCGATATTCGCCTCTTTTGATGAGAAAACTCTCGATAAGACGCCGGAAACAAAAAGAAATTATTCGAAAAACTAGCTGAAAAAAAAACCCTTGAAAAATTATTCAAAAAAAAGCTTCTCACAAATCAAAAAATTTAAAAAAGCCTTTTATGAACCAGTAAGTGCGCTCCATGGACAATCTAGCTGATCCGTGTCATTTTTCGACCAAAATGAACATTAAAAATACAGGAAAAACAGCAAAAAATAGCCATGAAATAGAATTTATCAAAATAATTTTTTTTTGAAGATTCCTAAAATGAATAGCTTCTGCGCGTCATGGCTAATCCAACTTGAGCACCAATCGGACGTGCTCCGGACGTTTCTGAGGTCACTTAAGGGATCTGAAGCCGCTAAAGTGGTCACTAGAGAAACTTCATGGGGCGCGTCCGAGTCCATATCAAGAATCAAGATTGGAGGAAAAAGCGTCATCCGGAAGCTTTCACCCATGAAAAATCCACAGAAAATCGGATATTTTGTCATCCGGTTCACGGCAAAAGCCCATTTCCGGCGAGAATCCGGGATAAAAAAGAAATAAATTGGGTTTTTTGATGCTCTTTCTCCATTATATATCGCATCCAGGAATGAACTTTTTTTTCTGGTTTTTTTAAAACCTTTTCCCAGTTTTCCAATTTCAAGCTTCAAATATCAAAAAAATCAAAAAAATTTCGAAATTTAAAATAGTTGATACTTTTCGATATTTCGTGTAAAAAGGGTCTATAAAAAAACCAGGTAATTTCTTCAAAATTTTTCAATTTTTTTCAAGCTTTCCAAGCTTTAGAACTCATTTCTTTCTCTTTTTTTCGATGAAAAAAATTGAAATTAAAACTCAAAATTATACAATATTCGGTGTCTTTTTCCCCGAAAAAAATGTTAAAAAAATGAAGGATTTTTCAACGCCCATGTAGCATTTTTTTGTCAATAAAAAAACCCGATAAATCCTTCAAAAAGACCAATTTTTTTTTAGTTTTCTTATGATAAAAATTCTTAAAGGATCCTACAAATACACTACTGTCGGGCCGATATCAAAAGAAAGGGGGAGAAAACAAAAAAGAACGTGGAAAACCGGGTAATCCGGTCCTGATTGGCCCGGGGTCGACCCGGCAAACAGCGTTTTCCGTCGACAAATAGACACGGAAAAAAAAACTGTGAGAATGTTAACTTTTTCTTACTTTTTTTCGAGAAATCGTGGGGGAAATATATATTTTTCTGGTACAAAAATTTGGGAAAAAAATTAGAAAATATTTTTTTCCTCAAGAAAAAAATCTACTAAAAAAACGCGAAAAATTCGGATTTTTTTGTAAATTTTCTCTTAAAAATCAAATATTATTTTTGTTTTTTTAAATAAATCTTCTATTTTTTTATAGAAAAAAATTTTTTCACTGATTTTTTTATTGAAAAATCAAAGATATATACACTTTTTCAAAAAAATTCTTTGAGGAATTTTTCCCATGGTAATTTTGAGTAAGGTAAGTAAATAAAGAGAATCTTCTATTTTTTTATGAAAAAAATTGAGGATATTCATTTTTTTCCCACGGTGAATTTCCTATTTATTCGGAAGAACGTGTGAATGTTAACTTATTTTTTTATAGTTTTTTTCACAAAAATCGAAGAAAAAAATAATTTTATTTTTTTAAATCTTCTTAGTAAAAAGGCGAAAAATAAAAAGAAAAATCAGGAAAAAAATTAAAAAAATTGGAAAAATGATTCAAGAAAAAAATCTTCTAAAAACAACTCAAAAAAATAGAAGAATGTGAGCTTTTTTTCAAATCATTTTTATTATCCAAAAAAACTTAGAAGGAATCAATTTTGAAAAAAATTATTCGATTTCTTAGAAAAAAATATACAAATTTTTCGCCAAAAAAACTTAAAAAAATCGCATTTTTTTAAAAACCGTTCAAAGAGAATCTTCACCTTTTTTTCACTTGTTTCAGGAAAAAAATAACTTTTTTTATAAATGCAAGGGAAATATCTAATTTTTGCTTCACAAATTGAGAAAAAAATCGAGGATGAGATCCTTATCATTTTCTTATCAAAAAAACCAGTGCAGAGCGATAATTTTTCAACCACTTTTTCCAAAAACTATATTGTTTAATTAAATCGAAAAACCAGGAACTTCTGTTCAGAACTCAATTAGTTTGTTTTGAAATTGATAACTTCATTAACCAATTTTTCTGATAATTTATCCGTTTTTTTCGTAAATTTTTTTCTCTTTGAACTCTCAGCCGTAATGTCAAGGTTTTCATTACGAAAAAAAGACTTTCGTTCTAAAAATTTTTTTTTCGAAATGGCATAACTCGAGTCAAAAACTAAATAAAAAGAATAAAAGATCGAAAAATAGAGTTTTGAAAAAAATTTTCACTGGGAAGAACGCTTTTTTTAGTGAAGAAAATAATAGGCAAAAAAAGTTCTTAGAAAAAAACCATTTTCTATTATTTTTTTACAAGTTTAAAAAAACTTGAAACTACTGAATTATGTTAAGAAATACATTAACAAAATTAAAAAAAAAATTAAAAAATTGAAATTTTCAAACATAACATTTTTTTTTCATTATCTCAGGACTTTTTTCATAAGAAAAAAAAATCCCTGACCTTTTTTTCGATTCTTAACAGATTCAGAACACAAAAAAAGCTTACTTTTTTTCGAAAATCCTATCAAAAATTTAACCTGATGCTTGATCAAATTTTTGAGAAAAATTAAACATAAATTCAATTAAATTTGAAAAAAATTAAACCAAACCCTTTGATAAACTTGAAAAAAACCAAGCCAAAAATGTGATAAACTCAAAAAAATATATATGAAAAATTAAACTCATCTTTTTCAAAAAAATTAACCTAAAATGCAAATATATTTAAAAAAAGAAAAACCCAAATATTAAATTAACCTGGAAAAAAATAAGTTAAGCCTAAACCTCAATCAAGTTTTTAAAAAATTCACCTTAACCTCTATCAACCCTTGAGTGGAATTTTCGAAAAATGAACCTTCCTCTTTAAAAAAAAGCCCAAAAAAAGGTTTTCCGTACTGAAATCTAGAATTATCGATCATTTAACGGAACAAACAAGTTGAGAAAAATGTTTACGGAACAGTTTTAGGCAAGAAAAAGTGGAAAAAAACACGTCGTTTTGTGTATTTTCCGACGCTTTTCGGCTCGGTTATCAAAACGTCAATAGGGTCCGGTCGGAAAAATCTCTTTCGAAAGTTTCAAATCGAAGCATTATTGATTGGGAAAAAAGTGTTGAAAAGGTCGGCTTGGATTTTTTTTTTTAAATGTATGTTCCTATTTTTCGAAATTCATACAGTTCTGTGGCCAGTTTTTAAAGCTTAAAAAGTTAGTTTCAGTCCAAATTTAATAACTTCTTTTTCTAGGCCCTCTTTTTACATAAATATAAATGCAATCGACGTTTCCAGTCGCCTTTCCGAAGCTATAAATCGAATGAAAGCCAAGAAAAAAATTTTTTTTTCTCTACTAATGATACCATTACAAGCCTAAAATCGAATTGAAGCCAAAAAAAAAATTTTTTTAATATTTTTTTTCCTCTAGTAGTGAGACCGTTACAAGCCTAAAATCAATCAAAACTTCAAAAAAAAAGAAAAATAATTCAAAAAAGGGCGTACCTTTGGTCCGGGAGAACTTCTCGTGTGATCTTCTTTCCTCGGCAACTCGTTGCTGTTGCTGAAGGCGATGTTCCTGGCGAGTTCACAGATGTCGACGCCGCTGAACTGCTCGTCCTTGACGTTCGGCGCCGTCGTCCATTTCGGCAGCTGCGCCTCGATCATTCTGCAACAGAGAATCCTTTTTTAACTCTGAAAAACCGGATGAACGTGAAAATTTCTTTCATATTCCCTTCAAAAGGTAAAAAAAAAAGCTCCAGTATGCTCAATACATCGCAAAAAAAGTAATAAAAAAACATTTTTTTAGAATACAGTTCAATTGCAAGAAATTAGTTGAATTTTTTTCAGAGAGAATAGGAAAAAAATGAAGAGGATTACCCTGAACAGGATTTTTCAACGACTGGGCTTCCTTTTTGAGTTTTTTTGAACAATTCAGCTAGCTATTTCAAATTACTGATTGTTTTAAATACCAAAAACGTTTTTAAAAAAACTTGGACAATTTTTAAAAAAAGTAAAAAAATATCAAAAAAACGGCTGTCGTCAATTAAAAACGTTTACTGTGCAAAGTTGTGACTGCGGCCCATCTGTTTACAGTAATCAAAAAAATAATTTTTTTCTTCACCTTTCTCTGATTTTTCAAAACTTTAAAAACGTATTTACTAAAAAGTTAGTGTATTAGACATTCAAATTGAATGAATCAAGGAAGAAATCGAATGTGACGTTTGAAAAAACGGCAAATGGGAAATCGGAAAACGACAAGCAAACACATTTCATGAAAAAAGAACGTCCGGCGTAAAGCCATAACAGGAAACGACAGGAGTAAGACGAAAAAATGTACGGATACGTCGTTTTCCAGAAAAAAAGAAGCTTCAAGAAAACCTAGCTCGAATTTTTTGAACAAAAACCGGCGAAAAAAAAATTTTTTTTCTCCAAATAGAGTCATAATCGCTAGATGCTTTAAAAATTTTAGTGAGACTTACAGTAACAAAATAAGCTCGAAGAAAAAAACAGTAAGCTTTAAAGTGACTCCGAAAGCTCCTAAACCTCCAAAAAGCCTTATAATGTCATAAAACAGTATGGAATCAACTGAAAACCTCTTGAAGCTCTAATGAATACAGTAATCCCTACAGTACCCTCAAGAGCGGCTGCAGAGGCCAAAAAAGTCTCCGAAGAGAGCCTATATTAAGAATAATACAATATGGAAATGACCAAAAGGTCACTGGAAGCTTTAAGATTACAGTAAGCTCTACAGTACTCTCAAAAGCAGCTGCTGGGGCCAAAAAAGTCGCCGAAAAGGGCTTTAATAGGGGATAATACAATAGGGAAATGACCAAAAGGTCACTGGAAGCTTTGAGGAATACGGTAGCCCCATACAGTACCCTCAAAAAAGCCCCTGAAACCGAAAAAGCCTCATTATTTGTCATAAACCAGCATGGGACTAACTAAAAGGTCACTGGAAGCTTTGAGGATTCCAGTAATCCCTACAGTACCCTTTCGAGCAGCTACTGAGGCCGAAAAAGTCTCCGAAAAGGGCCTCATTCAATCATAAAGCAGTATATGACTTAATAAAAGATCACTCGAAGCTATAAGGGATACTGTAAGCCTTACAGTACTCTTAATAGAACCTTTTTAGGCCAAAAAGCCTTCAAAAAAAAGCCTTACTCGGCCATGAAATAGTCTGGAACTAACCCAAAGATCGCTAGTTTCTTAAAGGAATACAGTAATCTATACAGTACTCTCAATAGAAGCTTTTTAGGTCATAAAAGCCTTCGAACATATATTAAGGATAATACAGTATGGAAATAACTGAAAGGTCACGGAAAACTTTAAAGATTACAGTAATCTATACAGTACTCACGAGAGCAGCTGTTGAGGTCAAAAAAATCTCCGAAAAAACCTTATTAAGACATAAAACAGTGTGGGACCACCTCAAAGGTCACTGGAAGCTTTAGGGAATACAGTAAGCCTCACAGAAGATCCTAGAGAATCTCCTTAGGTCATAAAAGCCTCTAAAAAGGGCCTTATTAGGTCATAAAACAGCGTCGCAATCGGAATAACACCAGGAGAGAGGAGAAGCGTGACAGCGGAGGAGGCCGCTCTTCTGGCCACGATGCCGACGACGCGAAAAAGCGGAGGAGAAGCGCAGAAAAGGGAAGAGGCTGGCGTTCGGACGGGTTTCGGGACCGGTTACGCCCGTCGCAGTCAGAAGCGGCAGCGGCGGCGGCGGCGTCTGTGGATCGACGTCTTCCGAATAGGGGGAGAAGGGCTTCTGGCGGCGGTTGGCAAACTGGTAATGACACTGGCCAGATCAAGAATCCTCAGATTGATCAGTCTTTGGAGAATTTTCTGGAACTGCCGCAAGTGGAATGGCTCATAACGTTGTTGCCTAACTGGCTTGCTTTTCTCCAACTTGCGCAAGTCGGTTTTGGTCTGGCGCGCATCGGAGAGCGAATACCCTCATCAAGGCAATTAAAGCATGAAAGTGATACGAATAAAATGACGTTCCTGATAAAAAAAAATAAAAACTTTTTTTTCATCACTGTTGAAAGACCGAAGTTTGACAAGATTCTGAATATTTCTTTCCAGAATCAAAATCCCTCAAGGGGCTTCTTCACCTCCTCGTTTTTCCAAATGAAAAAGCGACGATCCCCTCCAATCTCGACGACCAAAACGCACCGATAAGAGATAAGAAGCGATAGCGTCATCTTTTTCCCTTTAGTGGTCACTCTCACGTAGAAGAAAACATTTTTTTTCAAACTTGCCGTTTTTTCTGGAAGAAAATTGAGCTGAGAAGATCATTCGAAAGCTAATACCGACAAGAATATTTTCTAAAGTGATCACTTCAACTGAAGGATACATTGGAAAACCGGGAAGGGATCACTTAAGGTCTCAATTCTCCCTGAAGTGACAATTTTTCTTTTGATTTTTGCATATAACGCAACGCTACGGAATTCCACAGCAAAATGGCCACTTAAGGAAAGTAGCGAAACATTCTTGGAATCACTCTTAAGTGACCACTTTTTGGATGAACTTAGGCAGATGCGAGGATCAAAAAAAGAAACTTTCCCTAAAGTGATCACTTTATTATCCGCTCAAAAGTGGGCCCTCAAGTGTCGGACGCCTAGCAGGTTTCCGACCGCTCTAGCAAAAAATAAAAAAATCCCTCAAGTGGACCCTCTGAAAAATGAAAAAGACCAGCTTAAGATTTTTGGGTTTCAAGATCAATCTCTCGATACCCCCATAAAATGGTTCAACAATGAAACCATCCCTTCAGTGGCCACTTCAATCTGCGTTCACAAGTAACCCCTAGAGTGTTCTGACCGATCTAGTGTAATAGATCTCCAGGAAAGATATGAAGAAAAATCCCTCAAGTGACCACTCGGAAAAAGACAAGAAGCAACTTCTAAGATCAATCTATCGTTAAGGACCCTCATAAAAAGGTTCAACATTAAAAACATCCCTTTAGTGGCCACTCCAAACTGCGTTCACAAGTAACCCCTAGAGTGATAGATCTCCATGAAAGACATCAAGAAAAATCCTTCAAGTGACCACTCCGAAAAAGGAGAAGAAGCAGATTCTAAGATCAATCTATCGTTATGGAAAGATATGATAGATCTTCATGAAAAATATCAAAAAAAAAAATCCCTTAAGTTACCACTCCAAATAGGAGAAAAAGAGATTCCAAGATCAATCTATCTTTATGGACCTCCATGAAAAAGCATCAAAAATGAATCTATCCCTCTAGTGGCCACTCCAATCTGCGTTCACAAGTTGGCCGCCCGTCAGGCCCGGTTTCCGACGCCGACGAACACCCAAAACACTTCTCCTCTTCCTTCTTCTTTCTTCATTCATTTACTTGTTTTTTTCTCCTTCTTCTTCAGACCCGATGACACGACACGACATGACCAAATCGAATAATATGTATGTAATTCGGCTCCTCCTTCCCCCAACTACTTTCTTCCAGCCATCAACAACCTTTTTGGACCTTCTTTTTTTCCTTCTTTCTTTCTTTTCTAGTGGAAAAGTGGACGTCAAAACAAAACGGACAATGGTTTTTTGTTTGGTTTTTGATTGGGTTACGGTAGCTGGAAAAGTTGTGGTCGCATTTGGAATGGCTTAAAAACCGTTTCGTAGTCCCTTCTCATTGAAACTTTTCAATTCGTTTTGAGTACAGTAAGAATAATGGAGCTCAGATTACGGTAGGATGGGCAAAAATTCAAAAAAATTGCTTTTCTCCGGGGTTTGATGAGCATTTCTGACAACTGAGACATTCCAAATGCGACCAAATTTTGAATACAGTAAGCGAAAAAGAGCTCAGATTACGGTAGGATGGGCAAAACCCCAAAAAGTTTCTTTTTAGATGGATTCAAAAGAATTTCTGACAGCTGAGACATTCCCAACGAGACCAAAATTTGAATACAGTAAGCAAAACAGAGCTCAGATTACGGTAGGGTAAATAAAACTCAAGGTATTGGCATTTTTTTCCGTCGGTTAAAGAGTATTACAGTAGAAATTCTCCGGTAGAAGATAATTTGGGTTACGGTAGTTACAGTAATATGAGAATTTTCGTAAAAAAAATAGAAATAATCAAATTCTGATTCGAAAACTGATTGAACATGTATTAAAAAAAATGTCCGCAGTTTAAATTTTTTTAACTAAACTTAAAACTGGTTACTGTAGGTTACTGTATTCTGGATTTGAACAAAATCGAGGAGATATAGAAAAAAATTTCCAATGAGCCGGATTCAAGCTCAAAAACACCATGAAAACTTGGAAAATGCTATTTTTTGTTTTTAATACAGTAAGAAGAAGAAAAGGAGTACGGTAGTTACAGTATGAAAAGTGGAAGCTTCACAAAAAACCACTACGGCAATTTTTAAAAAAGAGAAAATCGATAAAAATGATTTCAAACAAAAAAAATAAGCTCACAAAAAAACTGTTTTATGAAAAATGAAGCTAATAAAGAAAAAAAAAGGCTCATTTAAATGAATAAAACTATACAATGGCATGCCAAGAACAGGTAAAAAAATAAGAATTTCAACTTCAAAAGTCGAAAAAATGACGAAAAAAGCGGGGAATGACGTCGAATCCTGATAAAAATCCTGTTCGGAACTGTTTATTTGTCGATTTTTTCAACAACAAAATTGGTGTACGAAAAGAGAGAGAGAGAATGGGAAAGTGAGAGAGATGAGACGGTTAGAGGAAAAGATAAAAATGCTTGGGTGGTCAAGGGAAGTGGCTTCTTGAGGGTTTTATCCTGTTTTTTTGGGGTTTTTTGATTTTCTAGTAAGTTTTGGGCCTCAAAATCGTTATAAACATGAGATTTAGCTAATTTAAATTATAGAAAAATCGTTAAAAAATTCACGAATTGAACTGGAAAAAAATCTTGTTCAACCCTGAACCGGTAAAACACGGAAAAAATTTGAAAAAAATGTACTTTAACTTGATAAAACCATGGTCAATCTTCAAAAAAATACAGAAAAAAATACCTTATTCTTCAAAAAAATAATAATCCAAACCACGCTAAACATTTGAAGGATTGAAAAAAACCAGGAAATCGTCGCTTTTTTTCTGTGGCTTTTTAGGGTTTTATCATGCTTTTTTTGGAGTTTTTTTGATTTTATTCATGTTTTTTTGAAGTTCAAAATTGTTATTAAAAAGAGAAACTAGCGGATTAAAAATTTTAAAAAAATATAATTCAAAAAAATTCAAAAAAATTGAACTGGAAAAATCTTGTTCACAACTGAACCGGTAAAACACAGAAAAAAACTTTAAAACCGTAAAAAAAAAATTTAACCTGATAGAACCATCTTCAATCTACAAAAATTACTAAAAACTGCCTGATTATTTAAAAAATAATAATCTAAACCACGCAAAATAACTAAAGGATTGAAAAAACCAGGAAATCGTCGTCTTTTCCCGGGCAAAGGGCCAAACCCTGCCCGAAATTTCTGTCAGGCGACCGGCTGAAGAAAAAACAGGACCGAAAATCGTGTTTACAGGCCTTTTTCGAAGACGGAACACTCTTTTTTTCTTGTCGGATTGGTGTCTTAGTTTTGCAGATTGCTTTTTGGTCCCAAAACTCTTAAGGGGTCACTGGGAGGGGAGAAAAGTGAGGATTTTTTAAAGGGCTCTTGGAAACTCTTTAAAAACTTGAACAGAAGTCACTTGAATGACCACTTGAAGACACTAAAAACCCTTAAATGATCCCTTACTTTTTTTTCAAATATCCTATTGCAAAGTCCTGTTCAGAACCCTTAAGAGATCTCTTGAAAGCTTGAACAACACTCTAGAAGTCCCTTGTCTGATAGAAAAACGTCTCAAAACTAATTTTTGAAAATCTATAACCCCTAAAAGGACCACTTCCGACTTCAAGCAATTCATGAATGCTATAGGGAACACTTAGGGAGGCTCCTGGAAACCCTCAAGTGACCCCTGGGAATTATTGAAAAAAGTAGTAAAGAAGTCACATAGAGAACTTGAAAAGAACTCGATCACTGAATTTATTAGAAAATAACCTTAAGGGATCACTTGAAATTTTTCGTCAGGCCATTTCAAACACTGTAGAAATAGTATATGACGAGTCTTCAAGTGGTCACTTAAAGTCACTTTCCGATCCTCACCAAGTCTATTCAAATCCGATTTTTATTATTTTTTCCGTAATTCTGAGAAAATTTCTAGTGACCACTATAGAGGATTGCCGAGGACTACTTGGAGACACTAAAGTGGCCACTAAACCAACCTCTATAGTGGCCACTACTTTCCGTTTTAGTGGCCACTTCAGAGATTCTCTATTTAGTGACCGCTTCAGTAGTTTTTCATCTAATATTCCTTCCAGTAATTCTGATAATTACAAAACAAACAGATTGGACCAGTTATGTTGATTTATTGACCCCTAAAGTGGCCACTTAAATTTTTAGTCGTCTAGTAGTAGCACTTAGACCTCTAGAGTGGCCACTAATTTTTAACCCCTTAAGTGGTCACTAATTTGAGTACTATAGACTATAGTGACCACTAAAACGTGAAAACCCTATAGTGGCCACTAAAAGTTTTCCGCGTTTCTGATTTTTGGTCAGGTTAATCTCCAAGAAAACGTATTTTTGACGGTTCTCAAGTCGTTTCAAACACCGAAGAAATGGTATATGTATAAATAGGGTCATGAGGGGCGCCTGACCGAAAATTGGCCCGTATTTCGTTTCGAAAAGGCGAAAAATTTTTGAGAACTGGTTCTAGACGTCGGCAAGTATGGAACTCAATGTACAGAGGGGTCGAATAATAAAAGATTTGGAAATTTAAATGATGAAATTTTGGCGATTTTTGGAAATGTTCTGACAAGATTGGAAAAAAGGATTTTTGAGGGGTCTTTTGAAAACAGGCCGTGAAATTCAGGTAGTTATATAGAATCTGAAATGTAAATTGGAACGATATTTTCAATTAGAAATGATTTTTTTGTGATGAACAAGAAGAAAAAAATCCTGAAAGTTTGAATTTTTTTCTCAAAAAGTCTTCAGAAAAATTAAACATTTTCACTAAAATTAGTTTAAAAACTTGAAAGAAGTGGAGAAAAATTATTTTCAGGCTACAGACAAGAAATAATTGATTAATTATATAATGATAATCTCAAGGAAAAAAAATTGAAAAAAATAACGTTTTTCAAGTTTTAAACTTTTTTCTACGTCAGGCGTAAAAAGCTCAAAAATCAAAT